GTCTCCAACACTGCCAAATATCCTCTATGGCAAAATTGTCCTTGTTGGAGAGCTAGTGATTGAAACTTCCAATTAAAAGAGCAAAGGATGTCACATTTAATGAAAAGCAAGATCCAATTCTTCTTTTTTTTTTAATGTATTTAGTACAGGGTCTCACTATGTACATAGAACTCGTAATGACTCACCTGTTTCCAGCCTCCCAAGCGCTGGGATTACAGGTGCATGCCACCACAATAGCTGTCTGAGTGCACCCTGGGAACAGAGCCAGCAGAGCACTGCATGCCAGGGATTGAACCCAGCTGTTGTGCTCTGCCTAAGCAGGCACTTTAGTCTGCTGAGCTATCTGGCCAGCCCACAAGTTCTAATTCTATTCCTTTTATATAACCTACTCTTATATAAATCCAGAGACAGGTTTAAAATAAAAGGATGGAAAAAATGTACCATACAACCACTGAGGTAGATCAGGTTGTCTTTCAGATAGTGAATATTATCAGAGTTTTTAAGAAAGAAACATTTAAAAATAACTCATAACTTGAGTGTGTATGCACCTCATATATATGAAATCCAAGTATATGACAGCACTGAGACAAGTAGAAAGATCCACAAATATAGTTCAATATTTCATAGTTCAACCCTCCCTCATAATTGATAGTATAGGAAGAAAAATCAATAGGGTAGTACAGATGAGTTAAAACTGTTAGGCAACTTGATCTAATTGATTTTTATAAAACTATACGCAACATCAATATAGGTACGTTTTTGAAGTACACATAAATGCTACAAAACACATCTGAACAATAAAGTAAATAGCTCTAACATTTAAAGGACTGAAATAATATATATTTTTTGTGACCAAAACAATTACATTAGAATCAATTAGGGTTGAGGATGTAGTTGAGTGGTAGAGCACCTGCTTAGTACACTACAGAAGGCCTTGATAAAGAAAAAAAATAGAATAAACTAGAAGTAATATCCCTGAACACAAATATTTGAAAACTAGAAAGTTATGAATACCCATGAGAAAATGAAATAAGAGAAATTAGAAAATATAGACAGGAAATAAAATGAAAACTCAATTTATAACAGGATAAAAATGGCCTAATAAAAGAAATTTATATCCTAATCCCAGAAACCTGGGATGTTATATCAGAAAAGAGGTATTTGCTCACATCATTGAGAGAAGGATGTTGAAAAGGGAAGATTATCCTAGATCACTAAATACAATGCCAAGTGTCCTAATGCCAGAGGCACAGGGACATTTGCTCATGCTGGAAGCTATGTGAGGACAGAACACACAGATTGGAAGATACCAGACTAGAGGACTGCTGTGATGCGACCACAAGTCAAGGAATACTGGTGGCCATCAGACGTTGGGCCTGGCAAGGGATAGATTCTGCCTCTGAATAGTGCAGTGTTTCTAAGGCTTCTTGCCTTAGAACTAGGAGAGTGTTATGTTTCTGTTGCTTTACACCACCAAGTTTGTGACGATTTGTTACAGCAACCAATTCACTGCTCACGTTCAGAATAAAATCTATGAAGGTTCGCATATTGAGACTTTTTTTTTTCTTGGTGGAACTGGGGATTTAACTCAGGCCCTTGCATTTGCCAGGCAAGTGCTTATTGTACTGAGCCATCTCCCTGGCCCCTATAAAGGTTCTCAATAGTAATCTAGACATGGAAGAGCTGGTATATGAAGTAATACAGTTGTATACTTTTCAAACCTGTCAGGATTGAATAGTTTACGGTTTCATTGGTAATCTTACTTTTATTTTATGGCTTGTAAATAAAACCAGAAATGTTTCCATAGAGCTACTTTCCTAGGGGAGAACCCTACAAGGCAGTGAATAGAAGCTGAAATAACCATCCTAACTCTGTTCTCTCTCTCTCTCTCTCTCTCTCTCTCTCTCTCTCTCTCTCTCTCTCTCTCTCTCTCTCTCTCTCTGTTTTAGAAAAAGAAAAATCTTTGCCTACTTCTGTAGGGAAGGAGGTATATTGTATACCTTTATTTATTAGCTCTTAAGTCTCTGCACATGGTTAGATAAAATATGAATGGCTGTGTAACAACTGCATGCATTGTCTTCAATAAGACAATTTTCCTTGGGCAGCTAGCTCATAGAAATCTTGTAATTTATTGGCAGGTTAATTTCACATCACTGATAGTAGCCAATGGTGAAAGCCCTAATTGATGTTTCCTGATGTGCTCTGTATTTGCTGGACTGTTCTCTTCCTCTAGTTCTATTTGTGTGATGTGAGTCGTAACGGAAGCTGTTTGTCCCACACAAACCTGAGGCGAATGCATTGCTACTTCTTAATAAATGTTAATCAGACCAGGGAATAAACTTTGTAATTCAGACCTGGGAACAGCAAGTCCTCTGTAATCACGTGTGCTGGAGCTCTTGGCATGTAGTCTCTGTGGCTATGTGGAGATGTACCAACAGGCCTCAAAGACGAAGCTGGCCATGGTGCCACATGCCTGTAATCTCAGCCCTTTGGGAAGCTGAGGCAAGAGGATCACACACAAGCTTGAACCTAGCCTGGGCAACTTAGTGAGAAACTTCCTCAAGATGGAAAATGAATGAGATATAGCGCAGTGTGAAAGCTCTAGATTTATATTTATGTTTCACTTGTTTGTGGCTGGCTCAGCCCGCCCTGGGGGCAGGGCTGGCACAGCAGATGGTGCTGGGGATTGAACTGCAGTCCCTGCACTTGCTTAAGCTTTCCTAGGCAGGCACTTTAGACCACTGAGCTATCTTGCCAGCCCAAAACCTCTAGATTTAATCCCCAGTACCACCACTGGAAAAAAAATCAGGACCATTAGTAAGTTGGGAGGCTCCCACATCTGTATCCCAGAGCCTCATTTGCCACTGGGTTCCTTTTGCAGAGGGAGGGGCACAGGGTACAGTGCTGTCCTGTACACAAGAAGTGATGCATAAAGGTGCCAGGAAAGCAGAGAATTGAATTCACTTTTCCAGTGGTGGTGACTTCTTGGTACCATTAAACTAGACCCTTAAAATAGTGGCTCACGGACTCTAACGTGCAAGAGAAACACCAGAGCGTGTGGAACAAATGCAAGTTCCTTGGCCTCAGCCTTGGAGACTCAATTTAATAGATCTGGATGGGCCCCAGAAAGAGGCTCTTTAGAAGTTTCTAGTATTGATGATTTAAAATCACAAGGCTACAGTTTTCTTCCTTGGAATAAATGAACAAAAGGCACCTTTGTGTCCCAAGGCTCTGAACCAGCGCTCTATTCTGCAGTATTTACACTGATTCCCTTAGTTCTCTTTTGCTATCTGTTCACTCATGTACAAACTGCAAGTACCTATAATAGTCCAAAGGCACACAAGAAAGTCTCCTCCTGTCTCTGCCAGTTAAGCTTCCCATCCAAGTAAATGGTGGCATCTACTATTGCAGTTTTCCATGTATTCTAAAGACATCCTATGTATACTGGCAAATATCAGTACAGATGTACATATTTTTTCTTCCCAAAATATAACACACAATGATTTGTACCTAGCTTTTTTTAAAAAAAACTTTCACTTCATGTATTTTGGAAACTCTTTTGTATGAGGAGAGCTCATCCTCTTTTTTTTTTTTTTTTTTGTGGAATGGGGATGGAACTCTGGCCATTGCGCTTGCCAGGCAAGAGCTTATTCTACTGAACCATCTCCCCAGCCCTTCATCCTCATTTATAAAAAATGTTGGAAGACATTCCATGCTACTGATAGTGTAATTTATTTATACAGCGCTCTGTGTGTGTGTGTGTGTGTGTGT